CATATTTAGAAAAAGCAAAATACCAGAAATCAGACTTAACTGTCTTGTTATTTCTAATAACTATCCAGTTAAGAAAATCATATGACATCATATTATTATAATCAATATTGACAATAGGAAATCTATCTATTCGCTCAAAAAATAAATTAAAGAAAAACATTTACCTCAGTTTGATAATATTTTAATTACTGAATTTGTAATCTGTATGATTAATTTAAATTCAGATAAAAAAAAAGCATTAATCAATACTGAATCAGTAATGAATAGTATATAAAATAAGACTAAGATAAGAAGTAAGCAATTTCCAATATCTAATATTCTTGAGTATTTTTCTGGTCAGTCTTCCAAAAAGATATTCACATTATAATATATTTAGATATTCAAGTATCTCAATAAAAAAATGTAATGTGATATAATTATGCAAAACGCCTGCAAAGTATCTTAATAGCTAATGACCAATTTTTATGTATCAGTTGCTTTGGCAATGTTTTTTATTTCATAAATAAAATATTATTTTATGTGGTCCCTTTAGGATCTGTTTTTATCATAAATCTTAAAAAATATTACGTGTAATGATGTAATATAATCAACTAAAAATTCTGTATTACATCTTAATTGCATATATATTGGGCAAATATATTACTTTTATATTTATAAACCAGCTTTACTTGTAACTGCAGTCAAGTATATATTTTTCGTAAACACAAACTCACATATAAAAACTATGATTTCACAACCCTCTATACTTTCTTCTTCAAGCTCAATAATAGAAGAAGTTTTTTTATGAACAATGTCAGATGTTATTAAGGATTTTAATATAGAGAAGCTTATCAAATATTTGAAAAAAAAATTGAAGTTAGAGGAGTCCTACTTTAAAATTTTACGTAAGAAAGAAATAGCTGGTAGTGATTTTCTTAATACAAGTAAAGAAGAATTTCAAAGTTATAGCATAAAACTAGTCCTACAAAAAGACTTGTAGAATTTATTAAGAGTTTCAGCTAGAAATTACAAAACTATTCCTTACTTAAAATTCTCAATAACTTGAAGGAAATGTTGCGTAGAAATAAGGTTAATGGGGAAGATATAATAAACATCAAGTAGTTTACTTCTGGTATGTGATTACTCTTTTAATTTTTTAGATTAGAGTATTACATATATTAACTTATTTTTCTCTGCCTGCAGTTTTCAAAGAGATTAGTAATGATGATAAGGCATTCAAACACTGTATAGAAAATATTATATTAAAACTTTCAAATGTGAAAACTATGACTGATGCCAATGAGGTAACGTGTTATAAATTTATTTCATTGATTCTTTATATATCTATCGCTATAGCTAAAAAAACTTATCTTCTAAGATATATTTATAGTTTTACAGAAAGATATATCTGGTAAAGATGCAATAGATAGAGTAGACTACTCAATCAAAAGTCTAGAAGACCTCCTATATATCACCGAAGGAAAGCCTCATAATATTAAAATCAGATATGCGCAGATAAATTTACTATTTGTTCATATTTTATAGAAGATTCAATAGTATTAATAGTATTTTATTTTTTTCTTCAGAATCTGACGCAACTTGAAAGTGCATTCCAAACTATTAAAAAGAAATAAACTTTAGATTAAGTATTTGGGAATAACTATTTTAACTATATATATGATATTGTGATCACAGGTACAGAGTGGCATTTTATTATATATACTCTAGATGGTATCTTCTCTATAAGCAGTAGCAAATATCAGATTAATCTTATGAAGTTCGCAGTTAAAGATAATCCTGAATTACTTTGAAGCAACGTAAAAAGGATAATTAGTATTATTATTGGATTATTAAAGAACCATATTAGTGCAGATAGTTTTTCAGCTAGCAAGAGGACTAGGATCAAAAAATTTATCAAAAAATAATGTGTATCATAAGCTAGGTCTTGAACATTTATATTTATTTTTTGCATGTAATAATAAAAAATTTTCTTGGCAAATTTTATTTACAGGTTGTAAGGGAAAATCACTTGATTTTTTTTTATTTGAATACTTATATACAGTGTATTAGTTATACATATAGATCATGCCATCTGAGTTTAAAGTATTGAAATAGCGTATCACTGAACTTGAAGCTAAGAACACCAAGCTTGAGGCTGAGAATGCAGAGCTTAAGAAGGAGAATACTAAGATTCCCAATCTTAAAAATAAGCTCTCAGTATTTAATGCTGAAATAGCTGAACTTAAACGCAAGAATGCTGGAGTTCTAAGAGCGAATGAGAAAAATAATGATAGGCGTGATGTTAAGGTAAAAAAATTAGAGGCTAGGCTCATGATAGTAGAATAGAGTGATAAGGAAGTGATACCAGAAGTATTATCAGAGATATCGGCATCTAATAATAATGTGGTCATCGAGTCATCAGAAGATAAGAAAATGGATTCTTTCTTAGATAAAGTGGATAAGAAAAAGGTTAATAATGAGATTAGATAGAGGAACAGGGAAAAAAAATTATTGTGTGAATCATCTACTAAAGACTTAAGTATCTCAAAGGAATCTGTTTCTTTTATAAATAAAGAATCTCAATCACATAAAAAGAAAAAAGCGGAAAATATCATGCAGGATGTATTTGATTTTACCATAAATAGGTTTAAGAAAAAACACATAATTGAAATTTCACTTACAGGCTGTAAGGAAAATAATTGTCAAAAAAAGATAGACTTTCAGGGGTTTTAACAGAATTATCAAGTTCAGACATATTGCAAAATATAAACCGCTTATATGAGAATGCATGTACTGCAGAAAATGAAAGGGTAAAGACTAATCAGGTGAAAATCCTATGCTAGAGAAATTTTATTATAGGACTGGATAATAGTATAGGTGAAATTATAATCAAAGAAAAGGTAAGCATGAAAAAGGCCAAAGGACTAATTTACGATTTTATTCTTGCACACAATCCTGACACCAGACAAAATACTTTATATCAGCGTATCAATAGAGCTAGAAAAGTTTATGAATTTACCGAAAAAATAGGAATTAATAAAATCAAGTATATCAAAACACATAGTGCAAATTCCATTGCAGAATTATCTGATAGTCAAATTCAAACTATTATTGATTATTTCTCCAATAATCCCAACACTGAATTACCAAATAATCAAGAAGGTTCTATTATTGATTCTGAAAAGGAGATTTTGGATGATCAGACTAATGCATCAGAGGCGGTTTTAGCAGAGGTAAGCGAATTAACCTTACCTATTCCTGTATCTTATGCCTTTAATTTTTCAGGCTCTGTTAATACGGACGAAGGCGACTCTAATCCATATAATAATAACTACAATTCTGATAGTAATTCTGAAGATAAGATGCTAGACAATTCAGATGATGATGAATACAATAGATACAGTGGATATAATGAGTATGGTGAACATAATAGAGGAAGGTTATTATTATTATAATGGAAGGTACGAAAGAAAAACCTTACCAATGATAAGTCTTATTATCTCTCCAGTAACTGTCGAAGAGAATTATCACATATTCGCATAGTTCTGTTCATTTCTTTTTTCAAATCACGTAAGGCTTAGCTATCGAAAGAGTATATCATATATCATGCGAAGCAATACCTCATTAACGTTATTAGTTAGTAGATTCTGATTCTATTAGCTGAAAGTGTGAAAAGTCTTCACGATTATCATATGACATAACATATATCATGAATTATGTCTCAAACTTTTTGCCTTAAAGAAAAAAAAAGCTAGAATAGAAAAAAAAATAATTGTGTATAAAAGTCTACAGTCATAGAATGGCATCATATAGTCCCACTCTATGTAATTTATTTTAGCTCAATGTATTGCAAATAAAAAACGTTTAGAGTACTAAGTGACCTGTGAAATGTAATCAATTATTTTTCTCGTGGTGATTGATAATAATCTTTTATGCTTGAGCATATATTCATGTTAATACAGGGTAATTTAGGAAATCTGGATCGGCAAATTAAAATTGATAGCAAAGATCCAGGGACTTTTATTCTCAAACTTTCTCGCATATTCTCAAAATTATTATGTATATTATTGTAAAAGGACCCTTGATGATCTTTACATATAGATAGCATTAAATTCTTTTATTGTTAAATTAATGAGAGTCCGTTGATCAGATTTTCGTGATGTGATCATATTAACGTAATTTTCCCAAAAGCGTATAACAAAATTGATTCTGTGAATTATATAAAAAGGTGATGATCTGGTTAGTGAATCCTTTTATCCACCTTGTGCAAGTATTAAGTAATAAATTTCAGGTGGAATGGGAATGTTGCAAAAATTAATAGTAATGGTAAGTGTGAATCAGAAATATTTTTTTTACCTTAGTTACTAATCTCCCGAATTTATGCTGTAGATTCGAAATTACTTAATTTCAGGGAAGTTCTATTGTGGGAAATAATCTTTTATGGTCTGTGTGATATGTATAAACATAGGGAATCTTGTAGCTAGCAATAGTGATAGGAAAAAAATTTATAAGTCTGAGAGAGCGATGAAATAACTTGATGCTAGGACTCGCATTAAATGGCTTAGAATCCATGTACTCCCTTCCTCTTTGATAGCATCATACATTTCATTCACTTCCCTATTATTTTCGATTCACTGTATATCTGAAAAATCAATAAAATTTCATCTATCGAAGCATCAAAAATTTTTTTTATTTTTTATTTTCTAAAAATAGATTTGACTAATTATAAAAAAAAAATCTTGTGACTTGCATACCATAAATCATGGCATTAATATCATAAGATCATACGTTTATATGTGGCTGGGATAAATTACGCGATGTCAAATATGAACTATTTTAAAACACCCGCAGAATATTAGAATCTCGATGCAATCACGTCACACTATTGTTAAAATGACAACTACTTTCTTCGCATTCTTGACTTTATTAAGAAGGATCTTTAGCAACGCGCAAAAATGGAAGATAATGAGCTTAACTAGCGGAACAACTTCTGAAGTCTGGCTGGAATGTACGTAAATAAAATGTTTGAGGTTTTTATGGATAGAGATACGTGTCAGGTCACCAAGTTGTATAACTCTTGGTCATATGGTGATGGCTCTTGGCCGGTGCTTTTTCGGCAACTAGCTGAGTTACTCTTGGTTGCTCAGTGATGACTCCTTGGTCGTTGCCGAATGACCGTTAAGATTCTTGAGATATTTCTGCCTGTTGCTGTCTAATATTATACTGATTATTATATTAACTTTTTGTTAAAAAACTCACTAAAACTGTGAAGGCTTGTGCCACCGTTGACCAAATCAGGGTAAGCTTTAGAAATTTTCCAGTTGCTAATCCTTCCAACTAACACTCATTTCTATTGCTTCTAATATGCAAGAGTGAGGCTACTGTTTCCACTTACATTGACAGGGCAGAATTAATGTCAAAGATTCGCAAGACTATTCTTAATGACATCGATGCTACAACATCAACTGCTTCTAAACGATCTTTGCAAAATGACTTTAAGGTTAGTAAATGGTGTGTTGTTGACGTAATTTACCTTATTACTAGTTTGTGTCCAATTTCTTTGATGCAGTTTTAAAAAATTCTTTGTATTTAACCTTTAGGATAATGATGAAGTTCCAAAATGTACCAAAATTGATGATTGCTTCCTGGTCACTTCTCCACAATATGAACAGGCCCAACCACTGCGTACTTCTCCACATCGAACATCTTTTTCAGATGTTTCAAGTGATTTCGTGCCAGAGGTAATTATATTATGAAATATTTAGTTCTCAACGATATCTTTTATAAATCCCTTTTGATGTGTTTATCACATAACAGAATGATAGTAAAGAGTATAGTCAAGATTCAGATGATAATTACATATTGGAATTGTCAGATAGATTGTTGGAGGTTTTATAGCTTTTGCTTCATATTCTGTATGTATATATAATATACATTTATACTCACTGCTATCCAATCTTTCAGATAAATTCCTTGGACCCAAATGAAGTTTACTTCAAAATATTTTACTTGAAATACTCAATGAACGCAAATCCCAAGATCTTAAATTAGACAAAACGTTCATGAATTCGAATTTTCTTAATGAAATAATTGATCTAACAGATACTGACGTGAAAAAAACAACTATAATCGAAATTGAATCAGGAACAACAGTTATGGCTTGGCCGAATACTAGAAAAACAAAGCTGGATTCCAACATCTGAGTTTAAGAATTTTTGTAGTCAGTTTACAGAAGATGCATGCGATCATGTCCAAATTCCCACTCTAGTGTGAAAGTCCTTTATTGTGAGACGATTTGACCTTTTTTTTCATGAAGGGCATGATATTACCCAAGATATTATGAAGCATTTGTAAGTATTATTAACTATATGATGCTCAGTTCTCTAAATTATTATTAACATGAATGGTGAATAGTTCTGTACGCTTGGAAACTCCAAACAACTCCAAATCAAATGAGTCAGATTTAAAAAGAACGTATGCGATCGACACAACAATATATGTTATAAACTGGCTCTTCTGAATGCATCAAGACGTTCTAGAACGGACATGGTAAATTCAATTTTAATTCATAACAATTTATATTACTTGTTAATTTCTTTTTATTTGATACAGGCTTGAGATACTTACCAAAGATACAAATAAACGAAAAATAGACAGTGCTTTAAAAGTTATTAAAATGAGAAAGAAAGAACATCAGACGATATGTATTGTTAAATTCTCCTACGGTAAATTGGCTCCCGAAAATAAGGAAATTAGCGATGGCGTGAAGCTTGCTCGAAATGTGATCTGAAACTTAAACAAACTATTAGATTCAGTCCCTTGTAAGAAGGCACATGTATACACGATTCAATACGTTAGTAAATATCACAATATAGTAAAGGAAAAGTTATGGTTTTGCATATTCCTTTTAGCTTTGCATAATTTTTTTTTCCTTTAAGATAGACAAATCCATATAAGATTTATAGTTTGATCCCTCCCTCAGTATATCTTTACGAAGAGTTTGTGCGCATTAAAATCTTAACCTCCTTTGATGACATAGAACAATTTTCTATGGACATAAAAATGCTAATGGATTTCCAGATAACAAATTGGTAATTAGTATTTATAGAGGTCCTAGTAGGATACTGATAGGATTTTGTTTTTTATTACAGTGTGATGTTCTAAAAACAATTAAATCAGTGAACAAATCTGGTAAAATTGAAAATGTGAATAAGTATGAAGTTGAAATTACGCCAAAAAAGGCTAGGAAGAAAAGCACTTAAATCTTTTTTTTCAAAACAGAAGATGTGACAGATTGTATTTACTGCGACAGAGTAACATGAAATTGTATCAATAGCATTTAGCTTTTAGTTTTTTGTAATTGTAATTCACACGCTATTAATAGTTAATCTGCTTGTATTTTTTTAAGTACTGTGTATGCTTGTAACATGTGCATTGGAAAAATAAATTGTCACTTTCTCATAAATAAAAGCGTTTACTTTATTGCATGTCAGACATATTTTGGGATCCTTTGCAAAAAACATCATTTATTGCACTATTTTGTTTGAAAGATAAAGTGATCAGCATTCTGAAACGGAACGCGCATGTGAATTTCCTGATGCTTCTTCGAATATTTAACTAGCGTCCAAAGGTGCATAGACTTTTTAATACTATAGTTAAAGGAAAAATAGCACAGAACAGATCATCGTTATTTGGTTGCCGATGAACTTGAAAATTTCTTAACAAAAGTATCTCTTACTACTGATGTTTGGACTTCAATTACAAATCAAGCTTACCTGAGAGTAACTATTCATTATATCGATGATGAATAAAATATGTAACATTTTCTTTTTGATTTAATTTACTTTGAGTATCATTATACTGGCGTTAGAATAAAGGAAAAGCTTCTTCAATTAATAGACGAAATAAATCTTAATGAAAAAATTCTTTTTCTTACTATAAATAATGATGCAACAATAGTTCTTTGTAGTAAAAATATGATAACTGAATTTGAAAAAAACTTGGAATGATAAAGAGTTTCAACATTTCTGATGCGCAGCACATGTTTTAAATATCACAATTAATCATGAAATGCAATTAAGAACAAAAATTATTGATAAGGTTAGAATATTTGTAATAAAATCTGTCATTCTACTATTCTTTGTGATGCATTTCACAGTTATTGTAAGGTAATAAAAAAGGATTATCTTAAACCTGATCTTAATGTCGCTATACAATAGAATAACACATTTTTAATGTTAGAAAAGTTTGAACGAATGCATGACGAACTTGATTTTCTTGTTTATAGTAACAAATAATTGGAGATATTTTATCTTAATGAAAATGAATGGAATCAAGTACAGTCAATGATCGTCCTATTAGAACCAATGTATAAGGCAACAAAAATTCTTTCTTCAAGTTCGTATCCAACTGTTAGTGATATTAGATTAACTTTTACAGGAATTCTTTGACATATTGAGATACAGTGGTGTGCAAAAAAAATAACAATTTTTTTGAAAAAAAATCGACAAGTGTAACTAGCCCAATTTTGGTTGTACATACATAAATAAATATGCAAATGAAAGCCCTATGATTACTCTATCGCTTCCAAATGAAACTTTTCTCATACATTAGTAAAAATTTTAATTTATTAAGCATTAAAATGACTTCATCTAAGCAAGAAATCTAGCGTCAAACAATTTTACAATTCTGGAGGAATGGGATACATAATGCTGCCAAAATACATTCATTGACAAAGATTCCACTTAAGACTATCTACCAGAACCTTAAAAAAATTAAAGTTACTAAGGATGTTCAACATAAAAGTGGTAGTAAACGCATTAAAAAAATAATACCTAGGGCATCCATAGCAATTGGGCAGTATATTCAAAGGAAATCCTCAATTTTTTCTCAATCTATTGCTGATAAATTGGAAGATATTGGAGTAAATGTTTCCCACTCAACAGTTTTGAGGCATTTGACTAACCTTAAATATCAAAATGCACTTCCTCTTCGTACACCAATGTTAATTCTAGTCTATATGCAAAATCGTGTTGAATGGGCCTAAAAACACAAGGATGATAACCGGAAAAAGATCTTATTTAGTGACGAAACGACTTTTCAATTATTCAGAAATACAATAAGACATTGGTATAGAAATACAAGGCCAGTTCGTCGAATACCAAAGGATAGAAGTAAAATATTCGCCTGAAGTAGTTTTTGTGTAAAGGGTACTACCAGTCTTTTTTGTTTTAAACATATAATGGATGAAAAATTTTACATAGAAATATTAGATAAGCAACTTCTGGAAGTGCGCAGTATGTTACGAGGTAGATAGCGATTGCAACAGGATAACAATCCTAAGTATCATAGTAATATTACTAAAGAATTCCTTGATAATCACAGGTCGAATAAAGAAGTATCGGGTTATCAAGTTTTAGACAAATATCAGGATAAATTAGGAATCGATATTTGCTGAAACTTGATATAGCCATATTAGATAAGTATTGATATACAGACCTCCGCCAAAAGTTTCTGAACACTTTTTTACCCAATATTAAACTTAAAATTTTTATGCAAAACAATAAAAAGTTTATATAAATTTATTTTAAATTAATAAAGCTCTAAATTTTGTATTAAGC